CGGGGGCCTCGAACGCTTTTGAGGGAAGGCCCTCTAGCTTTTGCTTGATTAGGTGGCCCTCGGGCCGGACTGTTTTGTTGTATCGGGCGCGTATCGGCCGCGGGACGGGGATATAAGTTAGTACTTGAGTCCTGCTCCGGGCCCCATGGCAGTGGAAAGGGGAGGGGGGGGGGCACGGCGCGCGGGGCCCCGACACCATCACCGCCGCCGCCACCACTCGGGGGACTCTGGGACTGGACTACTCGACTAGTCAGCGACCAATGATAAATCACCCCCTCCTTCCACCTGCCCGCACCGCGCCTCCCCCGCGCGCTCCACTCCACCTCCTCCTGGACAGAAGCCGTCATCAAACGATCATCAGGAGCCGCGCTTCTTGAGCCGCTGCGGCCGCTGCAGTAGCCAGCCGAGCCGCGCCCCTAAACGCGCCCCGGCGGCGGCGCGGCTGCTGCCCTCACAGAGCCACTACTGCGCTGAGCTGGGAGCGGGGACAAAAATAATACGGTAACAATGATAAACCGGTAGGAAAAAAAAGTTACGTGGAGAGGGTGAACGGAGAAAAAAAACCACACACACACACACTCCTCCTGGGTGAGCCGCCTGGTCATCGCGTCCGTCGCGGTGACGGCACGGCGGCGGCGGGACGGGCGTGTGCTTCGTCACACCTTGGAGGTGGTAAAGATAGTGCCTCCAGGAGGAGCAGGAGTGGATCCAGGCCAGTTCGGGAGGTGGGGAGGGGGGAGGGGATGACGCAAAAATCGATTCAAATGCCGTTTCTCACCTTTTCCATTGGAAAATCGTCTTTGCAGTCGTGGTCGCGACAAGAGCTGGTCTGCAATCGGTTCTCATTTATACACTCTTTCGCGTGGTTGTGACCGAACAGTTAAAGCCGAGCTTAAGGCATATCTTTCCTCCTGGGCCTCGCGCTGCCGCACTGGCGTAGAGTCCCGCCCCGAAGTGCCATTAGGGCGCTCAGAGGGCGGCCAACGGCCACTCCCTTCGGCTGCCCTGCTCACTCGGTACAGAAGTCAGTGGATAATAACCCTTAGGCCTACCTCGGTAACGAGGCGGCACGGCGGGTAAAGACGTGGCCGCGAGCTACAACAAACAGTCGACAGAACCGCCCCAAACGACCCCCCCCCCCCCTCCCACTCGATCCTTTTCTAACGCCCCATGCCTGACAGGTATGGTGAGAATAGCGTTACGCTGGACGGACGGGGAGACGAGTGGTGTCGACGAGAAGCGGCACGACGAGCAGGAGGGCTCACCACGAGGAACGGGGGCCGGGCCGGGCTGGGCCGGGCAAGTGAATCGAATCCTAGTCAAAGAAAGGGCAGAGGGGAGAGGGAAGGGGGGTGGAGTTTAACGCTAGCGCACCCGGACCAGTAGCCTATAAAAACGAGACTCTCAATGTGTACACAAAATAACGCGTTGTCGGGGCACCTCTACTTCTCTAGAGTGCCCATCGCCGCCGCTCCTTATCTGAAGCTGTTTCACCCGCGGCAGCATCGCGGTGGTGGGCCGCAGTCAGCGCGTGCCGCCCGCCGCCTGGAGGACTTCCCCCGAGAGGAGAGCGGGGCGCGAGGCGCGAGGCTGAGAATGCTGACGTAAAGGAAAATCCACCTGAATATTTTCGTCAGCGGATCGTTTTCGGCGCTTGGAGCTTACGCTGCCCCCTCCTCGCCGCCGTTGGCTAGAGCTAGTTAGGCTGCCATACAAGGTGTCGCCCCCCCCCCCTTTTACACACGAGGTACCTACAAGAGGCTCGAGGGTGCAATGGGGGTGATCGTGATCGTAGGTCTTCTCAGCGTCTTCTCAAATAGTTAAGCATTTCTGGACTGGGGGGGTTTCCACCACGGCCGCCGTCAACCTACTACAGCCGACGAGTTCAATTACTTTTCATTCTTTTCCTTTCTAAATAATGGTGATACGATCCTTCGCTCCCACGACTGGCGTGGCTGGCAGGCGCCGCGGTCTGACTCAGCGCCCGCGCACTCATTTGCGAGTCTATTTCCATGTTAATGTAACAGTGGCGTGATATTTATGGTTTATGATGTTTGTTCTGCTAGGCTGGGGGAGAGAGGATGAAGTTGGCAAACATCTTGTCGGATTTTCTCTGAGTTTGAGTCGAGTTGCGTGTACCTTTATTGCGTTTGGATACCGCACAAAAATTGCGCGCGCCTTGTGATTAATTTTAAGAGCTGCGTCCAGACAAGAGACAAGAGGACGAGGTTTGGTTCTCTGTGCAGACTCAGAGACCCCAGCGACGCAACTGTCTGGAAGCAGCTCAGGAACCTTTTGTTCTACCCGCTATTCTTCTTCCCCAGCTGATTACACCACTCCTTGGCCAGACTCACCATAGATAAAGAGCAGCAAATTTAGAAAACATAAATGAGAAATAATCATTTCTTTTATTCACAAAGGACAAAAAATATCACGAAAAAAATCATCTCAGAGAAAATAATGAGATGATTTAAGCAAATACCCTGCAAAACTTACTGTTCGATTCTTTTGATCTTCTTTCTACATGTGACAACGGTACATATATTCATAAGGACGATGATGTGAAGAACTCATTCCAGACATTTCAGCTGAAGGAGTACATTTCCAGTTTGCTATTCACAATACAGGCAGGCCACCGTACTTGGCACTGTACCTTTCAATTTTTCTTTCTATGAAATATTTTTACAAAATGGGAAAAACCTTAAAATATTTATAAACTTACTAAATATGTTGTTTCAAATTATCAGTCTATGATGAAAAGAAAATATATTGTGCAAGTCAAATAAGATATTTTAACTTTGTACTAAAATGACAGAATGATACTAAATTCTCTGAAAGTTGAACATATAAGATATGTAGGGCAAATTTCGTGCAATACATAAGACATGAAACATTTTCGTCTGTTTCTTTCATGGTTTTAACAATACTAGTAACACAAAGATTCATTATTTAGGAGAAGACAACAAGAGCTCTTGTATGTATGATGTACAAAGAAAAACAAAACAAAACAAAAGTTACAATTAAATGTAAAGTACCATTAGGAGAGAAGCACTCAAAGACAGCTGGTTATGGGTCTCATCACAGCACATGCACTGTTAACAGTTGCAAATCACAACAAAAATGAAGTTAAAGAACAATCTTCAAACCCAAAATTGTTAAGTGTCAAATATTAAGTACTGAACATATATGATATAAAAGTACACTCAACATCTAACGGTGTACTTAGCACATGCTGATTAAACAGAGTGGTTACTGGCACACTGTTGGGTTTTCAGTGTACAAAGGTGGCATTTAAAGCTTAATGCTTGCAGTCAGTATGGAGTCCAGCCAAATACAAATGTGACAATAGTTGAGATTCTTACAAAATGCTTGTGTTACATGTGAAAATGTTATAAACATTTACAAAATTATACATACTTAAAATGATATGTACAGCATGGACAGAAATTAATTATGGCACGATTTTCACATTTCTAGACTAAATATCTCATCAGCTTGTGGGTCATACCAATGCAAATAACAAAGACTGGCACTTCTTCAACAAGGCAATAAGACAATGCACATAACAATTTGAATAAATCAGTTAACGTCATTCACTAGAAACTATTACGAAACATGACAAACAGCTTTTAGGGTATCTACATGCCTTTGAACAGCTCACAAATGTAACAAAGTTAAGGAAGAATAAAATACTGCAAATAATAGAAAACAGTAACACCGAGGTACGGTACACTCATCTGAATGCTAAAATGAGAGAAAACTAAAATGAAAGCTACATATTTAAATAAGTTATGACATCACACAACCCTGAGATGGTTAACAAATAACAGAAAAATATGTTTGTGCTGTACCGTATTAAAAAAAAAAAAATACTGATCAAAACTAATTTTTATCACATTTACATTTGAAATCTATCACATAATTGTCATAGAATAATGCAAGCTAGAACTAATTTTACTGTAGTTCGTTTATGACAATCAAAAGCAACAGATAAACGAAAACCAATCACAATTGTACAAATGAGAAGAGAAAATAATGAAACAGAAACATCAGAAATGCTTGTATGTAGGAAATAATGATCTAAAAGCATTTCTGTCAGTCCGCACAAGCTTTGTGTAAAGAGAAAATACATACTGTAGGTACATACAACTAAAAATGCATTAGACAAAAGGACATTTTAATCAAAGAGGTGAGGACACAAAGCACACATTGCAAATGATTTGAAAATTGTTAGGCAGTTAAAAGGTAATGTTTTGCACTCACATAACTTAACAATTACGTAAGTTCAATCAAAACAAAATGTCATAGTTAAACTATCCTTCATTAAAGAAGTAAACTATCCAACATTTTCTTTAATACAAGTTGGTGTTGGGCTCACAACTATTCTTAGTGCCTTTCCGTCTTTGTTTCCATCCTTTCGATGAGGTTTCATGAAGCGTATCTGACGATATTCAGTATTTAAGGATTCTGAATCTGCACCAGATTCTTGGTCGTTTTGGTCCAATGAACTATCAGCATCACTGGCCCTGACAAAAAGAATATTTATTTTGAGCATAACTAAAATTTTGTAAATGTTAATATTTTAATACTGGTAGAACAATACCTGGCTCTCCTTGAAAGGCACCTATAATTTCGTCTGAGTGTATCCCTTAAACCAGTCAATTCACCATTACACTCTAAAACCCCATCCGCATCTTTGTTTCTGGAAAACATATTGGTAAATAGTTTATCATTTTGTAGATAATCCTTTCTTCTTTTTTTTTTTTGTAATTATAAAATCAGATGAAAAAAATCTTACCTGTAGTACAAAAATGTTCCATCCTCTAAATTACAACTACAAATGGTTTCCCACTGCAGACTCACATTCCTTTCCTGACGATAACACTTTATATGTCGGTGTTGGTTGTAAGGGAAACTTCCCAGAGGTCTAGCAAATTCCAATGATTCCAGTGGGATTCCACTTATTTCGCTGAGCTAAATAATCAACACAAAACAAAATTCCATAAATAAATGCTTACAGAGCGGAAAATGCATGTGATTGTCTTTAAAATATTCTTACCTTCTCTCTCAATTCAGCAAATAATGGATTTTCAAGCGTGATTTCAAAGATATCACTGTTACTCTTGAACTGTTTAACCATCAAAGTAACTTGAGATGGACTTGTTACATTTTCCGGTTCATTTAACTCTTGTAGGCAAAGTTCCCAGTTAGGTGTTAAACAAAGATCTTGAAATGACTGAGAATCCAATAATATTTTCCCAGGATTCTTCCATTTTTTCATACGTAAACGGCACCTAAAATATTCATACGCACCATAACACAACAATTCAATGAAAAATGAGAACACTCCTTTATTCTAAATTACCTATCATCAGATGGAATATAGAGCTCATTCCTCCAGGCCAGTTCCTCTAAAATATTCTTCTTTGCTTCACCAACAAGCATATCTTTGGTAAGAATCCAGTCACATAAAAATTTCATTGGCTGAAAATTTTAGTAGAGTGTTACTATCTATTTCAATAATAAAACAAAAAAAGTAACTAAAGATTCCAGTTTCACAACCATACTTCTTCATCATTAGCGAAAAGCTGGAAGACTTTTCCTCGATATTCCCCATGACGTAGTGCTCTTTCCAAGCGGACTATAATGTGTTCAACATCACACAATTTACTTAATGGGTCATTTACATTTGAATATGGGAACTCATTGCTCTTGCATTTTCGGAATAGCTTAATATAATCAGAGGCAATACCCATATGCCGAGCAAGTGCAGCTTTAAGTGCGCCCATCACCATGCGCTTGTCCACTTGTATACGAACCACTAAAAGTACAATGAATATGTTCACCACAATCATCAAAATTGCATGTACTGTAATAAACACTGATTGTCAAGCTACTTACTAGTTTTAGAATCTTGCATTTTGTATGGATAAATCTTAAGATAATAATAGCCATTGTTGCAAAATTCATCATCAGTTGCATTATCTCCTTCCTAATTAAAATCCAATGGGTAATAAATAAGTCAACATCAGTCAATTTAGGAACCTTTAACAAACAGGTTCACAGGAATTGTAGATGGGTTAACACATACAGCAGGTTAATTGTACACTACCTTTTCAGATGCTCCTACATTTCCTTCTCTCTTAATTTTCATTGATGAAGGATCCTTCTCTTCAGATGGAGAATTGCTAACAGGAGATACTTCAGTCCAATAGTCAGCTTCATCTCCAACGATAGTTCTGAGCAAATTGGTATGATGAGCAGTTCAGTCAGTTGATGAATATACTTAATACACTTAATGAAGTTGTTATGCAGGAGAAACATACCTATCACTATCAGTTAGACTACTATCTTCACTTGTACTTTGATCGCTGCAGACTGTGTTTGCAAGACACTCTTCTTCACCTTCAAGAGGGGGTAGTTGAGGTGATGTCCCACGAGATGTGCTTTTAGTCAGTACATGTGAGTTACAAATAGATTCACAGGCAGCCTCGCGATCTCCATTTGTAAGTTTACTGTTGTCTGAGACTGCTAAAGGAGGAATACCTAATTTTGCAAGACTCTCTAAAGAAAATTAAACATGTTTGTTACTACATATGTCCGGAAAACAATAGCAGTCTCAAAGCAAAAGGACTCATCCCACCTTTGTCAGCATCAGGTAGAGTACAATACAAGGTAATAGTGTTGCTGAACCTTTCAATAACTGCAGTCATTTTATCCAGGAAGTCAGCACTTTGATCAATTTCTTCAGCCACAAAAATCTGTATGAATGTGAAAATTAACAACTTAGATAATCAGTAAGATTAGAAAAATTTAAACAATATCTCAGGAGTTGGGATTTTAACTAAAGGCAGTGAGAACTAATATCTTGAACATGAAATAGATAAAATAAGATTAGACCCCACCTTGTTGCTTGTATAAAAGCCAGCACTCTGTAAAGTCTTCTCATCGTCAAGTTCAATTGGACTTTCGCCATATTCTTCCATCATAATTTTTATTTTTGGAGAGAGTTTGAGAGCTTTTGCAATTTTAGGTCTCATCTCTCCAATCAATGTTGTCAACTGAGTTCGAACTTCTACAGGAGGTTCAACTTCTTCTGTTTCCATGTTGACTAGGTGAACTTTAATTCCAATGCCTAAGATAAAACATAAAGGCTTGTTAATGTCATGTGCTTTTAAAAATCTGAAACAAATAATGTAACAGTATTTGGCAAAGGCAGAACACATACCTCCTGGACGATATGGCTCGAATTGAGCATCAGGCTCTCTGATTTCAAGATATAAACTCTGAGCCAAAGGATTTTGAATACTAGAATACACATAGCTCATAGGTTCTCCATCTTGACCATCAAAGCTCAGGTCCATGGTTTCATTAGTACTATCATAACTAACAAGTCTACACCTTTCAAGGGGAACAACACCATCTAGAATGAATAACTGAAAAGAAAGAAACCACAGAGACACAATATACGGGCCCATCATTTTATATTATATTACGTACAGTATTTAGAATAAGGGTGCCACCAAAACAACCTACATTATGTGCGATAGCAGTGGCTTCAGCAAGAGTAGTGTCTCCATCAATCACAAGCTTGGTTTCAAATCTATTGCTTTCACCTGGAAGGTGAAAATAAACTTTAATTTTCAAGCGATCTTTATCACGCTCGCGAATTATCCTTTCTTCTTCCTCTTCTTCCTGCATTTTTCTGACAAGTTCCTACAGATGGGAGGACAAGGAATAAATTGTATTTAATCACATGAGGCACTCACCAAAATCTTACACAGCTGCCTAGATTTAAACTTACAGAAATATGTGGAGGAAACTTGTCAATAGTCATTGCCGATTGATTACATTTCTTGTCAATTTGACGATACATTAGCATGTATGCATTGGTACTGGAGCTATGAGCTCCAGAATAATACACTCGGTGACTGCCACCACCATATGTCATAGATATGTCTTCATTTGTAATCTGTAAAGGTAATATTAAATTAAACACAATGACTGAATTATAGTACATTGCAACCAATATGAAAATGAAACACAGATTATTGCCGGATACTTACCCTGCTGACAGACTGGTCATCAAAGCAAAACCATTCACCTTTATCAAAATCCTTGATGTACACGTAATAGTGCCCACCAGATGCACTCCCAGAGTGAATCATGATTGAGAAAAGTTCATAAATGTATGGGCCTGGAGGTCCATCTCCTTCTTTGAGGCGTTGATTCTTCTCATTCTCAAGCAGATTCAGTGTGCCATTGCTAAGATCAATTCCCTCATCATAGTCCTAAAATAGCATTTTAAAAATCCAATTTAAAACTTTTGATAAGAGTTGTTTAAAGACTACATATGATACTTTAAAGATTCAACCTGGATATCTACATTGCTGCCACTGCTGTTGCTGCCACTTGCTGACTCATGTGAAGGCTCTGCCGCTTGACAGCCCTCATCATCTCCATTGGAAACATTATCGATTATGCTTCCATCCTCTGTCTTAGTACCATTATTGGAAATTTCACCCTCAGAAACTACCCCAGGTATCTCTTTACTTAGAGAACTTTTGGATTCATCACAAAGAAACCCATTGATGTTCAAAACATGGGGGAATTCAACCCTAAAACATTTATTAAAAGAGTGGAATCAATTCAAATATATAGGTAATCACAAACTAAGAAAATGCTACAAGTTGCATAGAAGATTACAGACCTGTCTATCAGCTTGATACGTGTCATTGCATTATAATCAAAATCAAAACGTTTGAGATGGAGAGTTAAAATATATGGAAAGTGTGAAAACTTCAGACCTTTATGGGCATCACATTTTTTGTTGCATGTCTCACAAAAATACTGATTATTTCCATCTAAGGTCTCTGGCTGAATAAATGCACGCATTGCTTCTTCCTGTATAAAATAGTAATAGTTTATGCATTACTTTTAACCAAAGAGTCAGCTACACCCCAATGGCTGAACCCAGGAACAGTCAGAAATGGAAGTGCTTTCACCAACAATATGCCAAATTGGTCTGAAAAAGGTTTAGTTTCAGCCAGTTTATCCAAGTTTATCACGCTCAGTCCCATGAGTAATTGATTGGTGTGGGCAAACTATCCAAAACGTGTCGAAGATGCTAGGAACTCTACAATAATTAAAGTAAGAGGTAACTCACCACACTGTTGTATGCTACAGTGCTACCGAAAGGACGGACTGGTAGTGGAATATCTAGAAAAGTATCCACTCTAGTTTTTTCAGTTTTGCATTCTAAACATGTGACATAATCAATCAATTTTCCTAATATGAAAAAAAAAAGTAAGTAAGAATTAGTTTTAACAGTGGAGAGAAAAATACACAGCAGCAATGTCAAAAGAAAAGTTTATACCCTGGTACAGATTGTTGATAAAGTCAGCTTGATCGGTGTCCTTAAACTTTTGTTCAAGAGCATCGAACATCACCCTGCATAGTTCCTGAATATCATGCTGTTGCCATGAATCACTTGCATCCCATCCAAAGCTCTTCGTCAATTTACTTGTTTCAACAGCAGTGCGTGAGGATGTCTACAGGAAATCAACTTTCTATTAATCAGCAAAGCATATATTACAGTAATTAGAATGAGATACCTAGGTCAGTTGTTTAAAAATTACCTGCAAATTTAAAAACAGCTTCTGAAGTTGATAGGGAATAGATTTTGGAGTCTCTTCTAAGGATCCCACAAACTCCCATTTGTAGAGAGAGTTACGAAATTCAGGTGTCATGAACAATGCCTGCAAGAGGCTATTCAAGTAACATGTCATGGCTTGATTCACAAGACCGACGTATCCTGGAAGAAAAATGGCACTTGTAGAACACTATGGATTGTTGACAGCAGTTTTTAAAGAATTTTCAGCAATGTGATTATTTTAATGGTTATTAATTTGAGACATTTTATTTTTTTAAATAGATTTGAACTTTTTAATAGATTTTCAAAAAAAATTATGAGGGGGACCTACCAATTTTCCGGGCGCAAGTGGTAATCCCTGTGATGATTTGAATAAAAGGGAAATTTTATGATCACAAACTAAACAAAAATCACAATCAAATTACAATTGCTAGCTTAAACTGTGACTGTGACCATATTTTAATGAACATAATTATTTCCTTATTCATTTTCTGTTCTGTGAAAAGGGACGTTTTTTTGCTTGTGCATGTTTGTGTCATTTAAAAAACAAAACAAACATTAGTATGTTGGGAAAAATAAGGCTCAATTAAGTTAGTCAAACTAGAGTGAAAGGAAGAAACAAAAGAATTTGTTTTTAAGAGGGCCATGAGCTGATGTTTTCACTTATTTGGTTTTAAGTCACTGCACACAGTTTGAAGGATGCAACACACCAATGTTCAGACTTCTCAACTATTACTTACGAAGTTGTTTTGTATCCCTGCAGTCACTTTTTGCTCGTAATCGACGTCTAGATGAGTTGCTTCCCCCTTTGTTAGCAAGGCTAATCACAATGGATGGGTTAGTGGCAGTTTTGGGTATGATCCTCAACAGATTCTTGTTTGCTGATCCAAATGAGAGACCAACTTCCTTTAAACTCTTTTCACAATTCCTGTCTACTTCGGATTCCTGAAATTAAGAATAAGATATTAATAGAGGTAAAACAAAAACGGGAAATATTTCAATTGTTAAAAGGCTTAGCTTACACCCCATTCTTTCACAAGCACCAAATCATACGACTCTGGACTGTAGTTACGACCATCCATAACGGTGGAAAAGAGTTCTTGAACAGATGATGATGGAGGAAGTGAGATTGAAAATCTCTGTCCATCTCCTTCTGGCATTTCATCTTTGACTTCAATGATGGCAGAGTCATACTCTAATAACAGCACCATGTTAAAATCCTTCGTGCCTAAAACCAAAAATTAAATAAAAATAAAAATTATAATAATGGAAATAAGGTGGTATTAGAGTATTGCGATGTTGTTTCCAGTGTGAGCTACACCCAGCATACCGACAAAACTCTGCTTCCTAATTCTTACAGTTAACTAAGCTATACATTTAAATAGGCGTTTTAGATTGCAGAGAGGATTATTGGTTCTACAAACATATAATAAATAGAAAATTGCATAATTATAGAAACATTTTATACATACACTTGTGCTTCAGTTCAATAAATTGAAACAGACAACTTAAACAAACAATATAAGAAACAACTTATTGTAGAACCTTACCGAATAGATAATTTGGATAAAAAATGGCTAGCCCATCCCTACAACTGAAAGTTACAAGGAGGGAAGGCTCCCACACTGGCCAGGACAGAGCAGAGTGAGAGGAGAGAGGGGGATGTTGGCACTATACCAACAGACTATTTATAGGATCTACAAAACCGACTTGAGTTTTCAAACCTACACCGCCAGCTCCATTAACAGACATTGGAGTAGAAAAATCAATAAATCAATCAAGGTTTTAACAAAATAATAGTTAAAAAATAAGAAAGGATAAAGAACAGAGAATGTCACATAAACATTGGAACACAAGAAGGAAATGGTAATGGAACAGGGATTCCTTTCCTTGGATGATTCTAAAATTAGAATCTCTGAAGGTGGTGAGAGTGTGTGTGTGTGGGGGGGGGGGGGGGGAGATCAAGCATAATTTTGAAAGAGTAGAGCAGGACCGAAAACAAGATTTTGCAAATAATTTTAATGATAAAATTTGCTGATAATGGGAGATACAAACAATGTAAGGTAGACTGGCCTTGCAAGACTCCTTAACAAAATACTTATCTTGTTTAAGAAATTCTTGGCAGATTTCCTGGTCTTGGCAACATACTACTTCCTTAATTTTTCTCTACTATTTTAGCCTGTCTAACACCAGTAGAAAAGTAAAGGGCTACATTGAAATTGTTTTCGGATCCTGAAGCAGAACCACAATGTATACTGGAACATTGACGCACACTGACTCATTGTTATTGTTATATTGTATGAAACTAACTAAGCATTCAAAAAGAAGTAAACATAGGCTATCTCAAATGTTCACATGAATTCTATAAAATCATTTCCTGAATTGTCATAATGCGGATCAATCAAAACCAAAATTTGGACAGCAAATTTCAGAAATCTTGGATTGACTAAAGAAATTATTTTCTTGAGGTTAAGGAGTAAAATTTCAAGACTGTAAAAAGAAGCAGGGAAATGTTGAAAAATATTATCACACCAAAGTACAGGGAGAGCCTTTCAGAGAGCTATGCTATAATAAATAAACATAGATGAAAAGTAAGCTCCATGCAGTAAAATATGATCGAATTTTGAACCCTTCCCAAAAAAAACAATTTACAAATGCGCTGAAGCAGAGTTGCTGAACGTATACTAGACTTCTGTTGTTGATGTTTGCATTAAATGTTATGATATGGTAATGCATGCATTAAAACAAAAAAATGTGGCACCACTCGTAAATCGTCACTGTAAGAAATAAGTTGCAAACTTTACAAACGTTGATGATTTGCGCCAGTCTCTTTTTATGTCAAAACTATCCGTATGAAATGAAATTTTGCAAGACAAGTATAATATTTTTAGGTTATGTATTCTAACTCCAACCGGAATGAAGTCTCCAACACAATTCATACAATTACTTCCTTGTAACACCTCAAACACTCCTTCAGATTTTACCTTTCGTTGAGAATAAAATAACTCAAGAAGTGTCCCTACGCCATTCTGTTTTCGGTTGGAACGTGCCGACATGAGTTGTTATTGTTGATCCTTTTCACAAAAGCATTTCATGTGAGAGAACAGATGACGGATGACGCGAAGCGGTTGTTGGGTTTGACAGCGAGGGGGTGGGGGTAGAGGTGCGCACGGGTGCGCACGAAGGGGTGGAAATATGTGGCATCATGGAGTCAAGGGTGGCATTACCGTCTATCGACTTGCTGGCAAAAAACGAGCATTTGGATGTTGCAAATGTATATGCCACAAATGTCAAATATTTTTTTTGGAAACCCCCCCGACACCTGACATTGCCAATTCACCTAACAAAAAATGAAAGAAATTTCTGAAGTGTGGGGGAAGCTATCTATACAAGTGTGCATTCTGTCCTTATTATAATAATAATTTATTTATAAATGTACATAATTAAAAATACGATATAAAATGAATCAATCAAAGAAGTCAACAAAATAAAAATTATTTTCGTCTCCGTAATGAATAGGGAGTACTAGTGGAGTTGTTGGGCTCATTCTCTTGATTTTCCTTCAGGTACTAGAAAAAAACATTCAGAGTTAATTTTACAAAATAATAACAAAATAACATTGGTAATAACTTAATTAAAACTACCTTTTTTAATTTATCTTCCATAATATCCATCCTCTGTTTTCTATCTATACATAATTTTTTATAAGTTTCTTTCTCGCGCTCAAGTTTTCTCACCTTATCCTCTAGCGCAATACGATTAGCTTCCTAAAAATAATAATACAAATTAGTACAGTAAGTGTGCATTATTGTCTTTCAAGCAAGGCCAACAAATGAGGAGAAATTGATAATACAAACATCTACAATCCCACTTGGTCCACTAGACCAATATTGGCTTTTATAAATAGCTTCATTTGATTCAGCGGTTTGAGTGTGAACAGACTTTGTCATGACCTTTGAAGATGATGCACACTCTGTGTTTTCTTGATAGGTTTTCAGAATGCGTCTATTTTGAGATTTCAAGTTTCCGATCTATACAAGAAAAATAGCAAACATTGAGGATCAACATGGAATTTCTGTACTTGATTACGAGGCATGGGCTACTGTTTTCAATTGAGCAGGTATGACCAAAAATTTTAGCCCGACCCCATACAAAACAACATAGGGCGGGCTAATATTTTCAGGCATACCCGTCCAATCGAAAACATTACCATGGGCAGTGCAAGTTACCTACCTCATCTTTTGATAGCTTTAGCTTTTCCTCCAAGCGTTTTATAGTATCCTCAGCAGGTTTGTTCAGTATTTGCTGTTTCATTTTTAGCTCAGTGATTTCAGCATTCTTATCAGCCAACTCAGTGCGCTGAGTTTGAACTAGCCTTTGAAGTTCTTCACATTTGAGGATATATTCTTTTGGAGATGTTTTATCTGAAGCTGAATGAGCATTTGTGAGGCTGGAGGGTTCTTTACGTTTAAGCCTTTTGATTTCTGCATTCAATCTGTCCACCAAGTTGTCATTCTCATTGGCTAAAGCCTCTTGCTTCTTACCCCATTCCAGTAACTCTTTGCACCCATCACATTCCCGCTGAAAAAACAAATTTAAAATCATATAGTTACCGTACAAGAATCTACACAGATGTGCACAAGAGCACACACAGAATAACCTGGACCTTTGAAGTATAGACACATACCACAGCTTGTTTCTTCTCCTGGCACACTTTTTGCCAAATGGTGGTAAATTCATCATCAACATCAGACAAAAACTGGTTTTCCTTGTGTAACTCAGAGCATGCATCTTGCAGCATATCACAATCAATAGGTTTACTGCAAATATCATTGAGTTTTCCAATTAATGCCTCAGCTCGGCTTTGAGCATTCTTTGCAGATTTTTCTTTAGATGACAACTGCATCTCTAGCAAGTCTCCAGTTGTTTTGTCCAAGGAGCCCATCACTTCTTTACATGAACTTCTCTGCAAAATTTAGAAATTTCAAAATGAGAATGAATAACTTTGAAGGAACATTTTAAAAATGCACCTATTCAGGATGGCCACACAATAGTATGTGCTATCAAAGTCCTTGATCTTCCTGACTTTTAGCTTTTAAGCAGAATACAAAACTTTCAAATGTTGCCGAAAATTTAGAAACAACAGTAGAAGCGAAATTCATTCATTTCCCTTAACCAATGTTCAATTTCCTTTACTACCAGGTTGTGTAGCCACCCTGCTATTCAAATACTTACCAACACCATTATTTTATCCATAGTAACTGAAAAGAATTTTGATTTTGTTTGCGCCAAATCTTTCAAGATTTCTGCAATCCTATCTGCAAGTTCTTTGTTCATTTGATCAAGGCTCCGTCCCCATGATAACAAGTCCTCACATTCTTTGTCCAAATCTTCTTTGTCCTTGTTGATCTCATCAATCTTCTTATCTTTTTCTATAATAATTTCTTCTTTCTCTTTAACCACGTTCATCAAGGCTTGAACTTCATGAGATTTGGAAGTAAGCTGCAAGGAAGATCAATACATATTAAAATAAAGAAGACCAAAATTAGTACTAATGAATGGACTTGCAATTAATCTCAATAGATGAACCAATTCTATTGGTAAACCAAAGTTTTTATTTAGCTGACTATTTGCACAATTCATATATGCACACTTTTCACCAACCCAATATATAATCACCTCTTTCAGATTTCTTTCATATTTTTCCCTCAAAGATTCTAATTCTGATCTGACATTTCTAGCATCACTTGCTTCCCTTTTCTGTTTAAAATCAGAGGCTCTGCTAGGTTTCAACCTGGACAATTGTGAGAGTTCTGTCAGCTGCTCTTCCACCTGTATTTCTAGCTGTTTTCTCAGAGAAATTTCTTGAGAGAGCTGCCCTTGAAGAAGTGCTAGTTCTGAAGACGGCCCAGGTGTGGATTTCTAGGTCCAGCAACAAAAAGAAAGGGGCCAAGTAGTTTGAATCAATAAGCGTTTCCACAACAAATTATAACTGTACATACATCAGAAAAATACAAAGCCCAGCGTAGCCTTCCAGATAATTCTCTTTACTCAACTCTGTGTGCTATCAACTCACATAAAATAAGGTTGACTGGATTTATGAATAAACATGAGAGCACTTTGCAAAACAGAAAGAAAAAAAAGAGAGATTAAATGGATTTCAACAAAGTTACTCTGGGCTTGACCATTAAATTTGAGGAAATAAAGAGCAACACTGAATGAATGAATGGATGATAAAGAGGGTGAGCAAGCATAGAGGCTGTCAGCAGGCACCATGTTAGTTGTCTGTAAGGAGGTCCGATAGTTTGCTTCCGCGTACCAAGGTACCAATTACCACACAATGTGCAAACCACTTTCAGAGAAAAGGAATTGCTTTTAAACATTACTATCTAGAACCTACAGGTTTACCAGGTATATACATCTTTGAGAGCTGAGTTATATCTGAATTAACAGTCCATGTCATAACTTAAAATAAAATAAAAATTGTTTGAGCTTGATAATTATTTTCGATGCTATTCCTTCTATTCGTAGCCCAACTAACCGATCCATACCATTTCCAGCCTAAAAGCCTTAAGCACAGCACAAGTTTCAGATAAGCAAAACCTCACCTCAGATGTTTCTAATTTCTCTTTCATTTTAGTAAGTTCGGCCTTTATTTTCCTGTTTTGAGTTCTGGTTTCCCTTGATGACTTGAGAGCATTCTCATACTGTTGGTTCAAAAATTCCATTTCAGCTTTCAATTCTTTTACTTCATCACTTGGTGATGGTTTTAGAGTCAGGTTTTTCACTGCTAAATCTCTTTCATTCTTCATTTTGAGGAAATCTCCCTCTGTAATACTTTGCTTTTCCTTTAGCTCTTCTATCTCCTTACATAGTGCCTCAATCTTTTCTTGTTTCTCTTCTAAAATAGACTTTTGGCATCCAATCTCTTCTTTCAGCTTAACAATAAGTTGCTTCTTCTCTGTTAGATCATTGTAGAGGGATGAAGCCTTACTTTGTAAAGATTCTTTGCCGGATAACTGTTTTGATTGAGTTTGTACTTGTAACTGAAGCTCAGTTAAGCTTGCTTCTAGATTTAAAACAATATCTGACTTTTTACTAAGTTCAGTTTTTAGGGTAGCGTTTAAAGCTGTCTCAGTGAGAAGCTGAAAAAGTCAAATAATGTACATAAGAATAAAGCACTATCTCATAAAATCGATTGAAATGAAAATTTTTTAATACAGCCAGTAATAACCAGAAATCTTACCTCCTGTGATATACTTTCCAATCTTTTTTGGGTTTTCTCTAGCTGCTCTATACATTCTGCGGCATGAAGCGCTTCCGACTGCAGATCTTTGACAAATCTTTCTTGAGCTAACAACTAAAAGAAAACAAGGAATAAGCAACAACCTGTATTGGATGGTACAGAAAATCTTAGAGTAAATCTCACGGTTACTTCAATTAGAATTACTCACATCTGCCACTGACTTTTCATATTTTTCTCTTAAGTCTTTCAAATCCTTGGTCGACTGATCAGAACTGTATTCCATGCTACTTAATTTATCTTGAAGTTCCTTCCTCTCCTTTTCGGTTTCAGCAATTTTTAAACTGAGACTATCATTCTAGAACAACAAAAATAACAGATTCATTAAAATGTCAAATGCATACAAAGAACATAAGGTTCAAAAAAGAATGTCTACCTCTGTCTTGAATTGCTGGACAGTTGTGTTAAGCTCAGCTAACTCATCAGCTTTTATAGACAACTCAATTAATTTTGACTGAACAACTGATAACAGCTCATCCTGTGATAGATCTTGGGTACAGTTAAGTAAACTTCTGAGTTTCTTAAAACTGTTTTCAAAGCTCTCTTGAACAATCAACAAACTTTCTTCCTTCTGCTTGATTCCACCCAATTGTGATGTTAGACTTTCATTCATTTCAGTAAGCTGAGCAACATTACTTTTCATTTCTTTCATTGTTTCTTGCCATTCTGCTTCTTGCTGGACATATGCCTGTAAAATAAGCAAGAAATAAAGAAAATTAAATAAGGTATTGTCATATTTTCAAAAACTAATAGGTAGATAAAAAAAATTCTACTCACCTGAAGTTCAGAGGTGCAAGAGTCTAGTTTTGTTTGAAAGACTGAGGCCACATGTTTTTGCACTTTCATGATTGATTCCAAAAATCTTGACAGTAACTCTGATAAAGAAACATTCCCCAGATCATCACTACTGTCTGAAATAGCTTTCACCTCTGACAAAAGAGTTCTATGGGCACACTTAATCTCTAGCTCCAAGTCTTCACAGTGCTTCTGAAGAGTATTAATTTTTTCATCCCTGCTTTCAACTTCAGAAAGCTGGTTTTTAATTGTCTTTTCAAGGTCACAGCACTTTTGACAAAATTCATCTTTTCCTAAATTGTTGGCAAGCTCGTGCAGTTTTGCTTTAAGTTGCCTTACTTCATCTTCCACATCTAAGTTAAGTGAATTCTTAAACTTTATTTCATCCTCCAACACAGAATTCTTTCTCCGCAATTCTTCGAGTTCATTTTTATGTAGCACAATTTCCTTGGAGACGCTTTCAAGTTTCTGTAAATCAGAGCTGTTAGACTTTAAGGACTCAACCTTTTCACGTAACTGTCTTAATTCTGATTCAGAATCCTCAAGGACAGAATTTTTGGAGTCCAGTTCTAAACGAAGAGAATTATTGTCATTTTTCATGGCTAGTAATTCATTTCTACATTGAATTAGTTCTTCAGATAGTTTATCCTGAAGTTGCAATTGTTGCCCCTGGCTGCGTAATTCAAGATCAGTGCATTTCTTCTTAGTTTCAGTCAAACAGGAAAGACACTGCAGCACTAAAGAATGAAGTGGGGCACTTTCATCAATTTCCACTTCTTCAAGGTTACTCCAAAGCAAACTGCGTGATTCATGCAAATCATTCTCTAAGAGAGATAGTTTTGCGGAAAGTTTCTCAATGTCTAAAGACAGCAAATCAGTTTTCACAACAGATGACATCACAATTTCGTGATCAACTGTAGAATTGACAGCATTTGGCACCAGAATAGGAGAATGAGCGTTTTGTTCGCACTGGCATGGTGCGTCCCTCAGTTTCTCCACTTCAATAGCATACTCTTTGAGTTTGTCGTCTCTTTCATGTATTTGATGAACCAATGAATCTTCACTTATTTTCAGGGCCTTCACTTGGTTTTTAACATTGTTTAATTCTTCCAGAAGAGTGTCAGAGTCCACTGAAGAAGAATGCATCTGCTGCTCCAAAGCACATATTTTCTCATTTTTACACAAGGTCATATCTGTTACCATGACATTTTTCTCGTCTTCAACTAGCGAGAGCATACTGTCTGAAGGTGAGTTTACATCAGGCAACATGGATCTTTCAGAGTCACAAGAATTTTGTTGAAGATGTAGAATTCGATCCTGTAACTGCTCCATTGCTAGGTTCCTCTCAGCCAGATCCTTGGTTAATGTGTCATTTAAAGAATTGACAGCAGCAATTTTCAATTTCATATCTTCAAGCTCGTGAATTAGAGACTGAACATACGGGTCACATTTGTTAATTTGTTCCATTGGGGTTACGTGAGACTTGTCAGCAACGCCTTCAGACTGACAGAGTTGCTTCCTTAATTTCTCTGTCTCAGCAACATACTCATTCAGTTTGCAATCTCTTTCATGCATTTGCTGGACCAAGGAATCTTCATTTATTTTGAGGGTCTTGACTTGATTTTTAACGTCATTTAACTCTTCCAGAAGAGCTTCAGAGTGCACTGACGAAGACTGCATACTACTTATCTGCTGCTCCAATGCAGAAATTTTTTGCTCTTGCATGGCCATTTCACTTTTACAAACAGACACTTCATTGATGAGAGCTTCCTGTTCTTCAATGTTTAAAAGAGTAGTATCGATTGCAGCATTTTGGGAACTGTTAAGATCAGTTTTATTCTTAACATCCTTAGCATCCTGCTGAAATTGTACAATTTGTTCCCGTAACTGCTCCATTTCTACTGCTGCATTTACAATCTCTTGGTTCCTGTCATCAAGGTCCTTAGTTAATGTTGCATTTAGAGACTTGAGAGCAATTATTTCTGATTTCACAGCTTCTAGCTCCTGCATTAAAGACAGAGCACTTGGCTCACAGTCATCTATTTGATCTCCAGATGTTACAGAAGACATGTGAGTAACACTTTCACAATGACTTGGTAAGTCTCTTAATTTTTCCATTTCAATAACATTCTCATGGAGTTTGCGGTCTTTTTCATGTATTTGCTGGACCAAAGAGTCTTCACTTGCTTTGAGGGTCATCACTTGGTTTTTAACAAGATTTAACTCTTCCACTGAAGAAGAACGCAAACTACTGATCTGCTCCTCCAATGCAGAAATTTTTTGCTCTTGCATGGACATTTCCCTTTTACAAACAGACACTTCATTGATGAGAGCTTCCTGATCTTCCACGTTTAAAAGAGTAGAGTCTGTTGTAGCATTTAGGGAAGCGTCAAGATCGGTATTATTCTTAACGTCCTTAGCATCCTGCTGAAGTTGTACAATTTGTTCCCGTAACCGCTCCATTTCTACTGCTGCATTTACAATGTCTTGATTCCTCTGATTAAGGTCCTGAGTTAGTGTGGCATTTGAAGACTTCAGAGCAATTATTTCTAATTTCACAGCTTCTAGCTCCTGCACTAAGTTTTCCATTTTGCAGTCTTTTTCATGTATTTGCTGGACTAAAGAGTCTTCACTTATTTTGAGGGTCTTCACTTGGTTTTTGACATGATTTAACTCTTCCAAAAGAGCTTCAGAGTCCACTGAAGAAGAATGCAAACTACTTATCTGCTGCTCTAATGAAGAAATTTTTTGCTCCTGCATGGTCATTTCATTTCTACAAACAGACACTTCATTGATGAG